CTTCTCCTTCTTCTTCTTCTTCTTCTTCTTCTTCTTCTTCTTCTTCTTCTTCTTCTTCTTCTTCTTCTTCTTCTTCTTCTTGTCAGCACGCCTCACGTTTAGGAGCGAACTTAACCAAATTGCAACAAAATTATGATACCTATTGCCCCTTCACAAAGCTGCCCTCAAATGTATGAAATTGATCAAATGGACATGTTGACATAACATCTCAGCAATGTTCACTGTGTAGTAGCTGTGTAAACGGCGGACCTGTTGAATCTCTCCATCTCCTGCACCAGCACGGTGTTCATGCTCTCAGAGTAGACCACGGGGTACCGGCTGATGGCCAGCTCGATGTCAAAGTTGGCCGGTAACTGAGGAGATATATCAACGTTTTGTACACGCCCATATTTGTGAGGTATCACGGTGAAATAAGGCACTCGTCCAAATAATGAAATCCGAGACATGGGCACTTTTCGGCCAGTTTGGACATTTTTTCGATTTTTTTTTTTTTTTTGCTCAACACCATTCAAAAATACTTTCATGAGTGAATTGTATGGAAAAACATTGATTAAAGGTACAACAAATTCAAATTTTCAGTTTACAAGGACTCTTAAGCTATGGAAGTCACCAAACTCTGGCGGCCAATTTTTTTAGCTCATTTTACTTCTGAAACTAGAAGACCCCACCTCTTTCAATTGCAAATATCTCGACTTCTATTCAAGATAAATTGATATTTTTTCCATCGAAAGCAAGACAAAATGAACAACCTTTTAGATGATACCAATAACTTCATATGCCCAAAAATAACGAGCGCCTGATTCCACCGTGTCGAGACACATTTCATCATGTTTGTTCAGAGTTACTTAAACAAACATAACGCTGATACAACCCTGAATGTCATGCTCTCGCTGGCAAAATAAAAGGCAAACAGGCAGGGGAGGACCATAAGCAACTTACTAAGAGAATTTGAACAGATCGGTGAAAGGGAAAGACCAGGCTAGGATGACAGAGGTTTTTGTCAAGAGACACACATAAGACACAATATCTGCCATTTAGTGCAGGGGGAGGGGGGGGGGGGGCAAAATAGACAGACAGCAACAACAGAAAGAAAGAAGAGAAGTGCCAACCTACCACCCGCAATTGATAAAGACAGTGATGCATATTGTTCTTTGGAGGTAAACAGTTGTTTTTTCTTTAAATGTTCTATCTAAACAGTAGACATGTCTTACTTTGTTCAGGATTAGACAGGTATTACTTGTTTTTAAAAAAATATTAAAGAGTTTTACAGAACTTGCAGCACAATAAGGTCATACAAGTGCCGAAGAGTAGAGGTGTAACAAGAGAGTGGCAAACATAAAAATGAAGGAAAAGAGATCAGGGCAATAGATGTTTGATAGGGAAAGAAGGAGGAGAGATCAGGGCAATAGATGTTTGATAGGGAAAGAAGGAGCAAGCCACATCAGAGCACTCGCCAACCACCCACAGTTCTTACTTTGTTCAGGATTAGACAGGTCTTACTTTTTAATTAATTTTTTTTGTAAGAGTCTTACGGCACTTGCAGCACAATTAGGTCATATAAGTGCCGATGATTAGAGGTGTCACAAGATAGTAACAAACACAGAAAAGAAGGAGGAGAGATAAGGACAATAGATGTTTGATAGGAAAGAAGGAGCAAACCACATCAGAGCACCCGCCAACAACCCGCAGATCTTACTTTACCCAGGATTAGATTAGACAGTCCTTACTTTACTCAGGATGTCGGCGGCGATGTCTCCGAGAGCAGAGTCTGAGCTGCCCCCGCCCCCTCCCCCGCGGCCCTCAGTGAGCAGCACGGAGGAGAAGAGGAGCTTGGTCTCCTGGAGCTCTCGGGAGATGTCCACGTTGTCGTGCATGCCGAATACCTCGGGGTACTGGGCCATGGGGAGTTGCTGGGGAGGGGGGAGGTGCAGGGCAGAGAGAGAGAGAAGATAAAGCAACAGTGAGAGGAGATGTCCACGTTGTCGTGCATGCCGAATACCTCGGGGTACTGGGCCATGGGGAGTTGCTGGGGAGGGGGGAGGTGCAGGGCAGAGAGAGAGAAGATAAAGCAACAGTGAGAGGAGATGTCCACGCTGTCGTGCATGCCGAATACCTCGGGGTACTGGGCCATGGGGAGTTGCTGGGGAGGGGGGAGGTGCAGGGCAGAGAGAGAGAAGATAAAGCAACAGTGAGAGGAGATGTCCACGTTGTCGTGCATGTCGAATACCTCGGGGTACTGGGCCATGGGCAGTTGCTGGGGGGAGGGGGGAGGGGGGAGGGGGTGAACATAGAGAGAGAGAGAGAGAATATATAGCAACAGGCTACAATGGTTGTTGGATGAAAAATAGCCCAGGCTCAAGTGAGTTAAAAAATTGGCTGCCTAAAACAATAGACAATTCTCGAGAACCTTGAAAAATGGAAAGACAATTCCACAACCAAACAAAAAAAACAACAACCTTGATGAGGTAAGAATAGCTAGAGACAATTCAAAAATAAATGATCCCCAATTAATTAAAAGAAAATTCCACGAAAACCCCCCCACACCAACCTTGATAAACTTGACGGCGTTCTCGTAGTCCGTCCTCAGAGGCAGGTGGTAGAAGCCGCTGGGGCTGAAGTTGTAGTTGGGGTTGGCCACCAGTGGCTCGCAGAAGAAGTCCCCTAGAATGGTGAGCAGAGTGCGTCTGTCCCAGTCGTCGGTGACTCGACCCCCGTAGTTACACTCACCCGTCATGTAAGTGATGGCCGCGTACGGGACCTCGTCATACTCGTTCACAAACATCTGAGGAAGTTTTTTTTTTTTTTTTTAATTTAATTTTTTTTTTTTTTTTTTTTTTTTTTTTGGGGGGGGGGGGGGGGGGGTGTTACGTCTTTTTAAGCAAAATTTGGCAATATGTAACACTTTGAGTTCTGGTAAAGGATCTCATTATACTCTGAAGTGTTGAAGAGTTTTTTAGTTACGTTTTTGTAAGCAAAATTAGGCAATGTATGTGTAACACTGTGAGTCCTGGTAAAGGACCTCGTTATACTCGCTTACAAACATCTGAAGTGTTTGGGGTCTTAAAGTTACGTCTTTCTTAGCAAAATTAAGCAATGTGTAACACTTTGAGTCTTCGTTACCTCGATATACTCATTGACAAACATCTGAAATGTTGGAGGGTTTTTATTTGTTGTGTCTTTCTAAGCAAAATTAGGCAATGTATAACACTTTGAGTCCTGGTAAAGGACCTTGTCGTATTCGTTGACAAACATCTGAAGGGTTGGAGTTTTTTTTGTAGTTTCGTCTTCTAAGTAAACTTACGCAATGTGTAACACTTCGAGTCCGTCTGGCAAAGGACCTCGTTACACACACTTATAAACGTCTGAAGTGTTGGAATTTTTAGTTACGTCTTTCCAAGCAAAATTAGGCGATGTATGTGTAATACTTTGAGTCCTAGTAAAGGACCTCGTTATACTCACTTACAAACATCTGAAGTGGTTGGGGTGTTGTTGTTTTTTTTTGGGGGGGGGGTTGTTACGTCTTTCTAAACAAAATTAGGCAATGTGTAACACTTTGAGTTCTGGTAAGGGACCTCATTATACTCGTTAACAAACATCTGAAGTGTTGGAGCTTTTGTAGTTACGTCTTTTTAAGCAAAATTAGGCAATGTGTAACACTTTGAGTCCTGATAAAGGGTCTCGTTATACTTATTAATAAACATCTGAAGTGTTGGGGGTGTTTTTTTGTTACATCTTTCTAAGTAAAATTAGACAATGTGTAACACTTTGAGTCCTGGTAAAGGGCCTCATTTTACTCACTTCCAAACATCTGAAAAGACTGTTTTTTTTTATAGTTTTGTCTTTCTAAACATAATTCAGGCAATAATATAACACAGTGGGACATTTTGAGTTTTCAAGTTTTAACCATATCTGTACACCTGGGGTCATTTTGTACCCCCAGGGTTATATTCTTCACATTTTAGTATACTTCTAGTACGAAGATCTCTTTGAAACTTTCAGTGTTTCTTGAAAATTCCTTTTGACAGACTGCTGTGTAAAGCGTCCGGATCGGATTAACGAGTAAATTTCCTCTTTGGAAAGTGGTGGCACAGAGTTACCCACGTCATATGGATACGATGATAAAACACGACGTACGGATAGGGTTTTAAAAGACAACCAATCAGAGGCCAGTACCTGCAGCTGTCGTACAGAGATCCGTAGGTCGGACTCGTTGAAGCCGTACGCGATGTTCCAGCCCAGGGGACCGAACTTTCTCCTCTCTTGGACCAGGGCGTGGAAGAAACACAGGCCAAACAGGAGCTTGGTGAAGTGCTGGGGACAGAGACAGAAACAGAGACAGACAGGAGCTTGGTGAAGTGCTGGGGACAGAGACAGAGACAGAGACAGACAGGAGCTTGGTGAAGTGCTGGGGACAGAGACAGAGACAGAGACAGACAGGAGCTTCGTGAAGTGCTGGGAACAGAGACAGAGACAGACAGGAGCTTGGTGAAGTGCTGGGGACAGAGACAGAGACAGAGACAGGCAGGAGCTTGGTGAAGTGCTGGGGACAGAGACAGAGACAGACAGGAGCTTGGTGAAGTGCTGGGGACAGAAACACAAACACAGGCCAAACAGGAGATTGATGAAGTGCTGGGGGCAGAGACAGACAGGCCAAACAGGAGCTTGGTGAAGTGCTGGGGACAGAGATAGATCGCAGCACCAATACGTTTGTCCACTTACGTTTCAGTCTGGTAAAAGTTTTACGGCACTCGCAACTCCATAAGGTTATACGATCACATTCAGTCACAGCATATCTTGGTTTTACTTTGTGAATCAGAATGGTTGAAGTATCTCAAAGGACAAAGTATATATTAAGTTAGTTTGGGAAAAGAGAAGCATTGACATGATGGTATTTATTTCGATTTCGTACGACAAAAAAGCGAGATAGACAGACAGACAGACAGAAACAGAAGGAATAAAAGAAGTAGGTCTAAGACCTGCCAGTGGTGCCTTCCAACAAAAACATATGTGAAATAATGATATGTGAGATGTGCTGACAAAGTTAGTTACTTCTCACAATCGGCAAATGGAGATATATCGGCCGCAAATAAACACAGTGATCAAATAGTAGATGTTCAACTGATGCCATTCTCTTTAAATTTCACACGTCTTTTTTATTATTTAAAACTATCACATTTTACAAACTCATCTAGACCTAAATAACTGATGTTTCTATGTCCATAGGCGAAAATCTGATAAGTAACTCATTTTGCTAGCATGCCTCTCAGAATGTACAATAAATACATGATTTTACGAACAACATCTCCACAGACAGACGATTTCATGACCCAGCTCTATGACAACGAGTGAGCCCGCCTACCAGATCTTTCTCGGGCTTGAGCGAGTTGATGCAGCCGTTGTAGAAAGCCTCGTCGCTGATCGGGTCGTTCAGGTAACTCTGTAGGAGATTCATGCGCAGTCCTGTCGGCGGCTCATTGGTCATCTTGACGCTGTTCTGTAGCACCGACACTGGGAACTGGACACAGTCACTCGTTAGAATTATTTGTTTTAGTACAGGTTTTAATCAATTATCAAAAGTCTGGAAAGCAAGCAACATCTCACTGTGCACCAAGATTCTACTCTTTAACTCCAATGCCAAGTCTGTGTGCCTCTACAGCTGCGAAACTTGGAAGACAACAAAGACAGTACTGAATAAAGTCCAGACTTTCATCAACAGATGTATGAGGAGTATCCTAAGAATTAAGTGGCAGGATAGAATAAGAAATGAAGAGCTGTGGGAAAGGACAGGACAAAAGGACATAGAAGTGGGAGGACTAAGAAAGTGGTGATGGATGGGACACACCCTCAGAAAGCCCAGAGGAAACATCACAAGACAGTCACTGCAGTGGAACCCACAGGGAGCACGAGGCAGGGGTAGGCCAGGGGAAACATGGAGGAGATGCGTGGAAAGGGACATGAGAGAAATGAAGCTCACTTGGAACGAGCAAGGAAGGATGGCCCAGGACAGAGATAAGTGGAAGGAGCTTGTATGTGGCCTATACCCTGCCAGGGGTGAAAGGCATTGATGATGATGATGATGGTTTTATGGCACTCGGAACTGCATAAGGTCATATGAGCCTCAAGGGGTGGATATCAACAGAGAAGTCCAAACGGGGAATCAGGCTTACTCTGCTCACCTCTCTAGCCTCAATAGCACAATGTCTGCTTCGACTATCAAGGCACCACGGAAATAGCAGTTCACAAGAGAGTGACAAACACACAAAAGAAGTAGAGGAGAAATGACGATAGTAAGGATGAGGAAATAAAAAAGCAGCAGTTCGAATTGTTAGAATTAGATTTACAATTATAAATGTAGATGAGTTACGGCCCCACTGACACAGTTCAGTTTAGATCATTCAGGAGTATGGTTGCTTTGATTTTGCAGATAGACACTGCGTCACCAAATGCAGAAGATGTCAGTTTGAATTCCGAGTGGGGAGATTCTATATGTTGGGATATTGTGACACTTTCAGCCAAAGTTGACCCTGACACGCAGAGTCAGTTTTTAGTTTTAGTATGAGTTTTAGGGCACTTGCAACAGAATAAGGTCATATGAGTGCCGAAAATTAGAGGTGTTACAAGAGAATAACAAACACAAAAAAGAAGGAGGGGAGATAAAGACGATAGATGTACCACCCACAGGCAGAGTCAAATCAGTCCGCCTTCTAATTGATCTAAATGTTTTTGATAGGGACATAAAACACCTACAACTACAACTACTTGGGCGAAGAGAGGAAAATGTGAGCAAATTATCTTTCCAAAGACAGGACACAATGTCAAGATCAGACGTGGGTATCCAAACTCCTGACCTTACGATGAACAGTACAAAAGACTAATTATATACAACTAAATAACCGACATTTCCTACGTTGACAGAACTGACCTTGGGTGACGGGTAGCTGGTGAGCCACAGCCTAAAGTCCACGGCGACCGTGTCGGGAGACAACTCCTCACAGATTTTCTCCAGGGCGTTCATCCAGGAGACCGCCAGGTGGCAGTTCTGTAGCAGCACCCACGTTCCGTCCTCCGCCGCCTGCTTGATCATCTTGGCCGCGATCGGACCCTGAACAAAAAGTTTTTTTTTTAAATGACGGTCTTGCTTTTAAAAGCGATATTGTCCCAGCTGTAAACTTTAAAATCAGTAGAAACCACCCACCAGAGCACCCGCCAACAACCCATCTCCAGGGTGAAAAAGGCAATGATGTGCGCACCATGCACAACCACAACAAAAACATCACACACACACACACACACACACACACACGCCGACTCACCTGACCTTGACCCAGGGAGATAGAGTTGAACTTGCGACCCCCGAAGCCCTTGTCGTCAGCGTACTTGAGCAGCGCCATGGTGGGGTCGGCCCCGGGGGACAGGATGAAGATGAGCGGGGAGCAGGCGTTCGAGTCCTGGAAGCTTTTGGCCAGGTCAAAGGGCGGGGGTTGGGTGAACATCTTGCCTAGCTTCTCGATCACAAAAAGGGTGATGGCTTGGGAGATCTGAGTAGGGAGAGACGGGGAGAGAAGGTGGGGGTGAAGGAAGGAAGGAAGGAAGGAAGGAAGGAG